TCCTGAGCTAATGAATAAAAGGTGAAAAGAGAAAAAAGAATAAGTAGTTAAGTAAAATGTATGAGGAAGAGATTTCTTGATGTGTCACTAACAAGGCAGGAATGATACACAGCTAAAAATGAGAATCCTGAATGCATGCATATATGATACCACTGATGGGCAAAACAGTCTTCCCAAGCGGCTCCAACAGCTTGGTTGCCGTCTTTGAGTAGGAAGGGATATGGAAGCAACATGCAATGATTTAAGCATTAGATGTCCTTCATGTAGATGTTTATAAATTTGTACTGATATGTTTTTTCCAGATAAGCCTCCATGACATAAGGTACAAACAAGACTACAATTCAAATAAAATGACATATGTAAAAGATTTTGCCTGTTATAATTGTATAACTCTGGACATCTATGCATACTAGGATGTATGTTGGAGAAAAGATAAAATATTATATGTGTGTGTGGTATTAAAATTAAAGCATGGCTTCTCTGAAAGACATGTTGTCGATTTTCCAAACTATATATATTATGTTTCTGAAGATTCATTAGCATGAACTAGCTTCCAAAGATATTTTCCTGTAAAATTTTGTTTCTGTTGCTTCATGTGAGTTTTGTTCTGTTGCTTGGAATAAAAGTTTATGTTTCATTTAATAGAGTTTGTATGTTACTTAAATTAAAAGTTGGGGCAGTGTTAATCTAATTTTGTCAAACTTAAAAGGTATTTCTTATGTGATATTATCCACATACTCTTAATATCTTCCTTTAACCTTTTACTTCTTTTGAATCTTTATTATCCTTTTCCCTTTACAGTTAAACTTGAATGAGACATCTATAGTTTCTTGTATTTTCAACCACTTGTTGGACATCTCTATCTAGAATATCAAAGCAATCCAAACATTAACAAACCCGAACTCATCTCATTCCTGGCTGTTTCCCCCAACCCCAGTTATTAATGGTACCGCAATCCCAGTTACACAGATCAGAAACATCTAGGGTTTTCTGTTTTTTTCTCCCCCTTATCTTTGTGTATTTCTTCTGCACAATGTCTTAAGTTTGTTCCTTCTTCATTCTTCTGCTGTTACCTCTTTGCAGGCCCTCATGCTGTCATCTAGACCTGTTTTGCCAATAGAAATATACTACAAACCACTCTGTAGTATAGTATTTTTAGTAACCACATTAAAAGAGCAAAAGGAAACAATTAAAATGAATTATTTTATTTAATCCAACATGTCTGATGTATTATTTCAACATGTAATATTTTAGAAGAATTATTATTACGAGATTTTTATCTTTTGTTGCCTTTGTTGAAATCCAGTGTGTATTTTATATTTACAAGTACACCTCAATTTAAACGAGCCACATTTCACAGGCCTGATAGGATGTGGCTAGTGACTATTGTCTCATGCAGTATAGATCCACACTGTTAAAAGAACTTTCTTTCAGTTTCCTGGCTTTTATAGTCTCTCCTTATCACTGCCAAAGAAAACAGATTTGATCATCTCATTCACTTGCTTTTAAAACTCCACTTATTTTCTGATTCCTATAGAATTATTTTATTATTCAAGACCCTTTACAATCTGGTCCTAATACATTACATCAGCTTCCTATCCTGTTAATTTTTTCTTCTCCATCTGCATTGGCTTCTCACTGTTTCTTATACCTGTGTTCCCTCCATTTTTTCCTTAGACAAATTCCTACTAATTCTTTAAGACCAACTCATAAATCATCTGCTCATTAAAGTTTTCTCTGATATCCTCAGATAAAGTTAATCTCTCAGTTCTACATGTATACAAAGATTTGTGCTTTACATTTCTCTTAATCTGTTTAGATGTCTTTCTCTTACTGTTTTGTTTCCCCAGACCTTAGCACACTTACTAAGTTTATAGTTTAGCATGCTTGAATTAATAAGCATATGTATTTGGGCTACACTTTCATTCAGACAATTTTCTTTCCTTAATTTTTTTCTCCTTTCAAGGGAGAATGTATCTATTATCATTTGTGACGCTAAATTATCATTCTAACTAGATGATTTTGCTTTTCTCACAGGTTCAAGTAAAGAGACAGTCGAGAGAAACAAAAGACAGGAAAAATGAAAGCTCTTTTAAGAAACAGCTCTCCTGTCAGGAAAATTCTAAAAGCTGTATGAGGTTAGTGATGAACTTTAGAAGTAGAATCCAACTGTGTAGAATCAGAAGATACCTAGTGAAAAACAAAAAAAAAGTACTTTAAAAAAAACGATGTGAGGCTTAAATGTATTTAATTACTTCTTTAAAGCACACACTTGATAATTTCAGGAAGGACCAGCTGAAATCTGAGACTATAATTTGACCTCTATCGTTGATGAATTATTTGATTTTGTCCTAATTTGTTTTAGATTGATAGTTTTATAAAATAAAAATGGTACAGTAGTATAAAATTTCTGTAAAATTTTCTGAATGCTTATTCATTTTTGTACATATCACAAACTAATATGGCTATATAAGCTTTGGTGCACAGCCTGCATTTTGAGTAACTGTTCTAGTATTTATGGACACAAAGTAGAAAGTAATGATACAGCACAACACTCTTCATGAGACAGCTGTAACTGAAACTAAGTATCTTTCTCATTTGCTTATTTGTGTTGTAGCAGGTGCTTGCTACCTTCTATAACAAATGTTTATGTTTAAAATTTTTTAAACATGTTTTTATTTGGTTTTTTAACTGCTATTATTAAAACATAATTGCCTAGAAATACTTTATAGTCAAGTTTAACAGGTATTAACATATATTTGGATTGAGTTAGTAGTATACTGGAAATTAATTTATAATTAATACTTAAAATAACTTGTTATATAGTACATTTAAAATTTAAGCCCTTTTTGATCTGAAATATGTTTAGAGCTGTCCAAAAGTTGTATTCTTTTTTATTTTATTGTTTTACTTTTTCAATTGAAGTGCAGGCAGTTACAGTGTGTCAATTTCTGGTGTATAGTACAATGTCCAGTCATGCATATACATACATATATTCGTTTACATACTCTTTTTCATTAAAGGTTATTACATGATATTGAATATAATTCCCTGTACTATACAGAAGAAACTTGTTTTTTAATCTATTTTTATATATAGTGGCTAACATTTGCAAATCTCAAACTCCTAAATTTATCCCTTCCCACCCCCTTTCCCTGGTAACCATGAGATTGTTTACTATGTCTGTGAGTCTGTTTCTGTTTTGTAGATGAGTTCATAGTGTCCTTTTTTTTTTTCTTTTTCTTTAATTTTTTTTTTTAGATTCCACATATGAGTGATATCCTATGGTATTTTTCTTTCTCTTTATGGCTTACTTCACTTAGAATGACATTCTCTAGGTCCATCTATGTTGCTGCAAATGGCTTTTTTTCTTTTCTATGTCTGAGAAGTATCCAATTGTATAACTATACCAAAAGTTGTATTCTTAAGTTAATATTTTGTCAAATTTATAATTAAAATCTATTATTCATTAGTACATTTCATCAGAGTACTTATTTCTTAAGAGAGTAAATTTATTAGTTACCAAAACAATTGACAGTAGTCCTTGAGATTTATTGAATCATGCCACTAATTTATAACAATGTAGCTCTTTACATCTTAACTTCTGGGAAGTTAGGGACTTCCTTGAGAATCTGAAGAAAGCTATAGACAACTTCTGTCTGAAAAACATGTCATAAAACGTACTTAGAAACAAAACTTAGTAGATCTTAAGGGATTCACTCAGTTCAAGAGCCCACTCATAAAGCCAAGTTAATAACTACAGTAGAGCAATTTTTATTTAGTTTCTTTTAACTATATCTGCATTAGCTTTGATTCTTACATTTATATTTACATGGTAAATACCACATTTCCTTCAGGTGTAATGAGGAAATACCTTTCCCTAGTAGCTTCAGTCTTGATTCAGCTCCTGTTCCTGGCTGTGATGATGTCGTACATAAGCATTTTTGTGCTTTTTCAGAATTGCCCAATTCCCTTGGCTCTTGCTGAGAGTGCAGTGGCCACCTGCAACAGGGTCAGCCAGTAGGTCCAACAGAGCTGAGACCGTCCACAGGCTTAACTGTTTTTCTCAAGGATTTGTGCTAGAGGGGTGGTATAGGGAAATAACAGATGCAACGTAATAATTTGTTCTTCCCCACCAAATCAGACCCTTAATAATTCCTCCCATGAAGGAAAATCTGTCAGCTATTAGATATTTGCCATATGTTCTTTTGGGGGTCTTTTGGATGGTTTTAGAATTCCTCTCATTCAGTCTTATGTCTATCAGGCGTATGCGTCATTTCTCCAGCATTTAGAAGATAATCCATTTGGTGTTGCCTCTCCCTTTTAAAGCCATTAAACTCCTGTCTTTCTGAGACTTTCCACCAGTTCCAGAGACAGGGATTGTGGTACTGTTGCCTGTTGGTAGTGAATCTCCATTGCAGTCATTGGAGTAGAGAGTGGCAGCTACGTGGGGAGTCCAACTAATCATGCTTTCTTTGCTAAAATTTAAAACTCAGTGCATAATAGCTTTCATTTTAGTGGGCAGTGGATTGAAAGTCAATGAGCAAAGTGACAGTTTTCTCTTATTTCATCTCTTTCTTGTTGTTTACAGAAAAAAAGTCATAAGAGAAGATCTGTTAAGTGCAAAACTTTATGACTTGAAGATGATGTGTAGTAAGTGACTTTTTATTTATGTGTTCTGCCTTTTTTGTTTCTTATTTTACTGCTTGTGCCAAAGTTCTTACTATTTTGGCTTAGAAAATAGTCGTGCACAGAACTCTACTGAGCTCTACACGTTATATTCAGTCCTACATAAACTGCTGTCATGGAGTCATTTATACTGTTCCCTGCCCTTTTTGTTTTTATGCTCACCTTGGAGGGAGGGAAGGGGAGAGTGAGTGTGTGTGTGTGCATGAATACTGGGAAGGAAAAGGAGAAAGACGTGTTTTCCAGTTACTTGGTAGTTAGCAACCTACGTCGTGGTCTTACTCCACTCATAAGTGCAGCAGTCCTTAGCGGAAATAAGATAAAATACCTCGTGGGCCAATAACTGTGAGCAGTAACAAGGGAAGTCTGTGACAGTGAGAAGTTAATTCACAGTTCCAGAGGTAGTTGTGGCTTGGCTTTTAGCCACACTTTTAATTTGAAACTTTATTTGGAAATAAAGCATCTCTTATGTATTTATCTTGTATGAGCAGTTAAATATGCCTGTCTTTTGTTGTTGTTTAGCGTATGGTTCTCTAATACAGGAAAGCTTTGCAGCAGGACCTGAGAAAAATGGCACTGTAGTGCTTTGGGACTCCTCTTTGGAGCTCAGGCTGTTTATTCTTGTTCCAAAGAACAACTTACTATGAGCCATTTGCAGGCAGGGAGAGGTGAGCATTTATTTTCCAGGCTAGGTTGCAATAAATTTCTATTTATAGATAGAATTAATGAATTCATTGTTGTTAAAAATAAATAAAAATCAACTTCACTTTTTATATATTGTGAATACCAAGTTTGGTTGTTGTTTTTTTTTAATTTTAATTAATAAGATCTCAGGTTTATAGATGTACCAGACTTACAGATTAATAAATGTCTCTCTTTGATAATTTAGTAGAGTGAAACTGTTTTAAAAGGCATTTATAATGATTAGATAAGCACTCTTCTTTTATTAAAGAACTTCAGATATCAGAACTTACTTGTTTTTCTATGTCAGTGCTGTAGATGAGCATTTCCCGCCCCTCTTTTGTTTTTTTGGTAAACTCTAGGATCTGATATGAAATTTAGTACTGAGGAAGAGTAAACGATGTTACAGGTTTTCTCTAGATAATTTGGCCTGCTCTCACTATGAGAATCCTAGTTTTAAGACTATTGTAATTTTCTTTAAGTACGTATCTCCTGCCTGGACTGACTTTTAGAGAGGAACATAAGCAAATCTTAAACCTGTCACACTTCAGTCTAGTGAAGGCCATCAATAAGAGTATGATTCATTTGGATTTGAGAGTTTGTTTTATTATTCAGAATATGAAATACTAAACAAGTTTTTAGTGGATGTCCTAAGCCAGTTTAGTATTGAACAGCTAATTTTTTTCCTTCCAATTTATTGAGGTGAAATTGACATACAGCACTATATGTTTAAAGTGCACAGCATAATGATTTGACTTACATACATCACAAAGTGATTACCACAGTGAGTTTAGTGACCATCCATCATCTCATATAGATACAACATTAAAGAAATAGAAAAACATTTTTTTGCTTATGATGAGAACTCTTAGGATTTACTCTCAACAACTTTCATGTATAATGCACAACAGTGTTAATTATATTTATCATGTACATTACATCTGTATTAATGAGTGAAGAGCTTCTAGAGAGAGAATATAGACCATGTATAAAATATCCTTAGAGATAAGAGAAGGGATATTTCATCAGTGAAATAAGAAAAGACTAAGAAAGCTTTTGGAAATTAAGAATATTATTGCAGAAATTTTAAAAACTGAACAGGAATAGAAGATGAGCTGAGAAATCTCAGAAAGTGGGACAGAAGTCAAAGAGATAATAGGATATTAGTCTATAAGGTCCAGTACTGAATACTGAAATCTCAGAAAAGAACAATAAAAGGCAGAAAGTTAACAAGAAAAGTACAAAACAAACAAACAAACAAAAAAAACTTCCCAGAATAATAAAGTATCCAGATAAAGGAATTAACTTAATACATAGTAAATGAAGAAAGAACTACATATACAAAGTGCGTCATAAAATTCTAGAACTCTGCAGATAAGATTTGAAGAGCTTCTAGAGAGAGAATATAGACCATGTATAAAAGAATGTTCTGAACAACAATAGGTGGAGTAGTGGAGCCCTCCCTTGGAAGTTCTGGGGAAAATAATTACTAACCTAGAAAATTTTATTCCTTACTAAACCATCAATCAGGTGTTAGAGCAGAATAAAGACATTCTCAAATACATAAGAGCTCAGAAATACATTCTCATGCATCCTTTCTCATGATTATACTGGAGGATATGTATGCTTCACTGAATGAGAAAGTAAGCAAAGGAATGATGTGAGGTTCAGAAAATGAGTTCCAACCCAGGAAGAAGATACAGGGGATTCTCAAGAGGATAGAACAGCCCCAGAATGGCAGCTGAACAGTAGCTTTTAGAGAGTTTCCCATTTAGATTGGAGCAGGACAAAGGAAAAGTATTTCCAAGAGCGTAGGGAGCGAACTTGATGAACGAGTGTATGTATGTGAGCGTATTAAGAGGACGTGTATACTTTTGTGGTAGTTAGCTAAATCAATGATAGATAATATATGGAAAAAAGAAGAAGACAAAGCACGTATTAACCCTAGGAAAAGCAAGAAGTTGTGCAAGAAAAGTAATCTAATTCATGATATGGTTCAGCTGTGAGTCATGTTTTTATAGTCGGAGTAATGTAATATTGCTTACATCCTGTTGACACATCAAAAGAACATTAGGGTGGAGGAGCAAAGGAGGTAGGCAGGGCAGTGGTATAAGAAACAAGTCTTTATCTTCTATAGTAAAAAAATATAGGAAAACATCTGAAGCAAAAAATCAAGATAGAGTAGAATAAGCTTCCTTAGAAATTAAAGAGGTAAATACTGGAGGACACGGCTGAAGGATTTGATGGGTGGTTTGGTGGAGCTGAAATCAAGAGTGGGGATTTCCGTGGCTTTTCTTTACAAGTCTAGAAGTGCTGTTTGACTTCTTAATGCACATGCATTACTTTGATAAAAATTAAATGAAAAGGCATATCACCGCTGTCCAAAGGATAGTTTAGGAGAGTGAACTTGTGAAGTGGTCTCCAGGAAACCGCAGTTTAGACGAATCCACCATTGGAACTGCTCAGATATTACCTGAGAGTTACCCAGAAATATGTGAAATAGCTTTTGACTAGATTTTCATACTTAGCATTGGCCAGAAAACTAACAGTTCTTCTCAGAGAGCATTTCATCTAGTGGTTGCTTCCTGACATAGGCTTCCAAGTGAAGGAATGCTGTGTAAACAGTACACGCTCATTATAGCAGTATTGAGTGAATGGCACAACCCAGCACCCTCGGGGCATAAAAAACACTGTGTAGCTACAACACTGCAATTCTCGGTCTCGCTGCAGGAAATGGCTATTTCTAGGAATGTGGCAGTACCTAGCACACATTTTTATTCCTGGCTTCTTTAAGCACTTTTAAAAAATCAGTACCAACTTTGAAGTGTACATTGAAGGGTAAGAAAATAAGTTCCTGGAACTAAGCCAGCACCCCTCTCCCCAGTGTGAATTGACAGTTGTTACAAAAGTTCTGGGTGGGACATGTGTGAAGGCTGGATAATAGCATGAAACTAAACAGCTGTTGTATGGGAACTTAAAAGGAAATTAGTGTGCTGTTAAGTAGAAAATAGGCTATTTCCCACTGGACGGACAGAAGAAACCCCGAAGACTTACGATCTTGCGATAGCAGAAACAGGCCTCCCAGTTAGGCAGGTTGATGTATGCTGAACAAAGCTAGCAGGGCCTTTGTGAGACCAGCAGGGCTTAGGTCGGAAGGCCCGTCGTCACTCGCACTGTAGACTTTTCCCAGAGACGTGAGGAAAGAGCAGCAGCAGTGCCAGCAGCGCTCACTGCAGGCAGCAAGTGTGTTGATAGATGACGGGTAGCGATGACCGTTAACACAGGCTTGATGGTAAAAAACTAAGAGGAGGGCTCTATAAAGATGTTAACACGATTTTTGTGGTTAGCAGAAACTGTTCATCCTTTATCTTCTTAACCTAGAAATAAATTTTCAGATGGGACAGGTAAGCCAAAAAAGTGCTGTAAGCAAGACAGCCCAAAACACTGCTGTTAACAGGGAGCTGTTTTAATCAATGCTTCTACTTCTCCTAATTCTATAACGTTTGAGGAGGAGGGGAGGGTACTTTTAGTTGGTGACAATCCTTAAATGGTTATTTGTAATTGACAAGGGCTGATGGCCCCTGTTCCCCTCGTCAGCACCTGCTTGGGCTGAATCAGCAATACCCGTTGTTTAGGTCATGGCTGGAAAGGATATATTAAGTGCATGATTGATACTAAGTAATTTGTCTTTTATATTCTTTTTGATACAGGGTGGTTTAAGTTTGCACAGGGCACCAGAAAATACTGACTAGAACTTTAATACTAGGTTCTGAGCGTAGCAGTTTTACATGCTTCGCTAGTTTTCTCTACTGTGGCCTCTTATTTCCCTTGTATCTGTGGCTCAACAAGATAAAACTAGCATTTGGAAAAATTATATAAATGCAAGTACTATTATTTTAAATGCAACTTTTCTACATTTTTTAATTTTTGTCAATATACCAGTATCAGTACTGGTTTACAATCTTTTAAAATAAAAATTAAGGCAAGATATTTTTGTGTCTTTGACAGGAAACTCTAAAAACAGTGAAATGGGAGGAAAGAAAAATGCAGTAATAAAGACGAATAAGGTTTGTTGAAATAAAGAAAAATATGATCGTTTAGTACATGACTCTAGTGCCTCAGGTATATCAAAATACTTAAACGTTACCTGCCTGTTACGGAGGGTTTGGTTCGCTGTTTCACTAGCCTCTTTTTACTCTTCTAGCCGCGAAGATCAAATCAGCGTACAGATCAGTGCTTCAGGAATGTCTTCTCCAACCTCTTTTCTTCTCGTAGTCACACTGGAGAATCTTCTCTTAACTGTACAGCTTACTGGTTAGTATTTTCTACTTTTAACTTGTGCATTTTATTTGTTAATTATTATGTTTTTTCCTAGAAATTAAAGGTTGGCTCAACAAACTGTGAAAGCCCACCTTGTTTTTCATTTTGGTTTATTTTGGAAAATAAGCGAATAAAAACCTGTTGTTTTGTGCCTCTCTCTCAGGCAGTGACTGCTTATGCTAGTGGGCTTCGCTTCGTTTTCATTAATAATGAAGTTGTTATGCACAGGTTTTTTATGTGATAGAGAAGTAGGCTAATTGTTAAATGATGGGGATGGTAAAGCAGAACTTGTTCAGAGTAGATACAGTCATCTTTGAGTCCATAGTGACTGGCATAGAGATACTAATCTAAGTAGATATTTATGGAATTTGAAGATTAAGTTGGGGTTTTAAAATCACATGGAGTTGGTTGAATGAGCAGGACAGATTAAGACTGTGATTTAATTTTAGGGGTTGGCAAGTTACCAAAGAAAAGTTACATCTGAGTAGCTTTTTGAAAAGCTGAACCATACCCATTTTTGGTTACAGTAATAACCATGCCTTCCTTTATCTTCTTCTTTTGCATTATGCTTAGTTTCAGATGGCAAACCATCACACCTAGGATTTCTGCGGGAACTTTGGTTCATGGGATAGTAATAGTGTTGCTTTTCTCTCTCAATAATAAGTGTTAGTCTGAATTGACTTTTGGAAATTCTGTCACTTAAGATAGAAATTCAAGTGTTATTTTCATGAATCAGATAAATGCAGTTTTGATTTGTAATATAAAAATTTTAGTTACTTTAGGGATGAGTTCATGTTGAAAGTATTTAAATTAAAACCTTTTTTATGTGATTTATAATGCTAGATAAGAAAACTTCCAGTATTCATGATGTAACCCAAATTGTTACTCAGCACTTAAATTTTTGGAATTCTGATGAGGGTTTAAAATTTATCTTTTAGTACAGAATTTATAGAAGTCAGTGAAATTGGTGCATTGATTAGGCAGAAGAGAGAGGAACTGGAATTGTCGTGGTTTCCTGATGCGTCACCTGGAGTTGGAAGGTAAAAGGTTGCTGAAGTGTTTTTGTGCCCGCGTGCGTGCAAGACGTCCTTAATAGTGAAGGGCAGAGGTGTCGTGTTCAGTGGTCATGTTTCTAAGCACGTTTTGTTCAAATTAAACTTTGGTGTTTCCAGTGCTTAATGAAAAGCCCTTATTTAAAGAGCCCCTTGAAAAGTAAAGAATCTTTTATTTATTGTTTAATAAATGTAGATATTTGATTCATTTAAAAGGGAGAGCACCTAAATGATAAAACTCATTATTAGTAATAGCTTTCAGATCTTTCATCCTTCCTCTTTTTTTTTTCGTCCATTCCCACCTTCCCTGTGTGCTGTTAGCTGGAGCACTGCTTTTATCATGACACGTACCCTCTCCAAAATGTTCTTGTAAATGTTTGATCACATCCCTGGTCTGCCCTGGAATTCATGATTTTCTGTAATGTAGCTTTTTTCTTTTCTTAGTTTAAGTCCTAAAGCTGTTATTTAGCACATTGCTAGGTACATGATGCATGTTTAAATCAAGCTGCTATGTAAAGATCAAGGTCCTTGCCAGAATTTTATATTCATCCCTATAACATACTGATACTTATATATATCACTGTAATACAGTTTTGCATAGGGTCTTCACCCTCTAGGAATGACAGTGAAAATAAGTAAGTAAAACTAGAAAGTCCCAGATACGTATACTGTGAACTCTTTTCTTTGAGTTACACGTTTTTGTACACGTGCAGTTGCACATTGTTCTTCAAGCTTCTTTCCTCATACTCTAGAATCTCACCTTGGACTGGATGAGATAGTCTTTTGTTAGGAGAACTGAACTGAGCTAATATGAACAAAGAAAGAAGCAACTGAGCGTGGATTAGGTGTGAGTGCAGAAACGCTGGGGTCTTAGGAGGTCCGTAGGGACACTGAGAACTTTGATGAGCCCTCATCCTGAGATTGAGGGCTTTTAGTAGTAGAATCAGGTGTGTTTTTCTCCTTTTAAAAAATGTATTTATTTTGATATTTTTGGCCCTGATCTATGTTATAAAACGTAGAGAAACCTATCCAAAAATGTGATACCATCTGTGATACGCTGTGCTTCAAAATCCCAGTGATACAGTTTTACTCTCAGTTTTGTTGAGTCTTTATTTATGTATGGACTGACTCCCCTTTGACTTCGCTGATTTCTGTAAAACCTTGATTTGATTAACTTGACTAAATTATCTCTTTGGTTGCCTGGAAATAGAGTGGGGTGCGAGGTCCTGAAGGTGCTTTCTGGGGTGGTGGAAATGTTCTGTATCTTGTTTGGGTTGTGGTTATACAGGTATTGGTCAGAAGTCATCACACTGTGCACTTAAAATCTGTTTCATTTGGGTATTTTATTTATCTGTACTTTTTAGTATCCAAATTAATATTTTTTAGAATGGTGGAAAAAAAGAAAAGCTAAAAAGATTCTTGACAAAATACTGCATTAACTTATTTAAATGAGAAACAACTATTATACATTAAGTCACCCTTGCTCTCCCTTTGCTATTACTTTATTGAAAAACATGCTTTTAAAAGGTTTTTTTGTTTGTTTTTGTATTTTGCAGCCAATTGGTAGCTACTTTTGAACAATGAGTAACCTTGGATGTACATTCTTAGCTGTTTGGCAAAAAATAATTTAAGTACTTTATATTTTAATGTTACTAACCTGATTTAGAAAATTAATACTTTTAAGTTGATGGTTTTATTTTTTAAACCATTTAAACAGAAATGTCTTTATTTTGTTTTGATTTTTCAGAATTGGTTTTATACCCTGGAATATTGGAACAGAAGTCCTTCCTCTCATCTCTTCTGTGTTGCCAAGAACTATTTTCCCAACAAGTATCATATCTTTAGAAAACTTTGGTAAAGCTTTTGAAATTTTTTCTAGTTTTAAAAATATTAGCTTCTTTCAATCTCATAAAAAGTATGTGTTAATGATTAGAAAAGCCGTAAACTAAGGTATAGGTAGTAAGTCCTAGATATTTCTGTAAATATTTGTATAGTAACCTGATTTTAAAATTGTTCCAACTAGAAAATTACAACTTCACATCTTTGAGGAACTGATTAGAAGTCCCCCTTCTGTTTAGGGCTTCAGTGTCTAAACCACAGATCTTTAAAGGTAACATACATTAGTTATAAACAAATAACTTGAGTCTTTACTATCTGTAGCTTGTTGTCTCTTGCTTTTGCCCAGGTAATAGCAATTCATAAAGCAAGTGGCAATTACCAGACCAAACATGTTTTCTTTTTTTCCCCTGTAAAATTGTCCATATGGATTCAAATCTTGTGGTAACTCATTTCATTAGCATTAAGAAGATGTTACTCAGATGTTAGTAGCTATGCATTTATTTGTAATTTGATTCACAAGCATATTTTGTTTCACCCTGTTATAGATGTCTGTTTTACGCTAAAATAAGCTGAAGCCGAACTATTATCATTTATTGAAACATGCACTTACTTTTTACTTCTTTTTGAAACGTGTTCTTAGGCACTTCTTGTCAGGGGTGTGCATTAGCACACACACAAGAAGGGGAAGAGAAGAAGCAGACTTCCGGTACCTCAAACACCAGAGGCTCAAGACGGAAACCTGCAGCAACAACTCCTACGAGGAGATCGACGCGTAGCACGAGAGCTGAACCAGTCAGTCAGTCTCAGAGATCCCCAGTATCAAATAGTTCTGGGTGTGATCCCCCAGAAGACAGTAATCCCTCTGTAAGTGTTTCCTCTTCAGCCGGGTCAGAAAAGCAAACAAGACAGGCTCCCAAACGGAAGTCCGTAAGAAGAGGGAGAAAACTATCTTTACTGAAAAAGAAACCTCGGAGCTCTGTACCTCCCCCCGAAAAATCATCTTCCAGTGATTCAACAGATGAGGAAGTAGCAGGATCTGACGTACCACCTGTGTTAGAGACAGAGCACCAGTCCGACGGAGAAAGCAGTAACACTGTGCAGATGAATGTAGAAAATGAGCCTGCTGATGGCTTGAGAAGTTGCAGTGAGCCAGTAGAAGGAAGTGCGGAATTTCCTGAGACCCAAGGTACAGAGGAAAGAGGGGAATCTTCATATTCTGAGCCTGGTACCCAGGATCCTCTCGTGCTCGCTGGACAGGAGGAGGAAGATGAAAAAGTTGAGAATACAGGTATAAAGGCTAATGTTCTATGTCTGGAAAGTGAGATTTCTAAAAATATTTCTGAAAAAGGGGATGATCCATTGGAAAATCAAGACCAAATAGCTGGACCTTCAGAATCAGAGGTAAAAGCGGATACATGTACAGATCCCCCTCCAAGTGATTCTACGTATTCAGGGTCTGAAACTGAGGGACACCAGCCTAGATCGAGCCTGGGTGAGCTACCTGAGAATGCACAGGCAGTGGTCAGTGAAGAAAAAGTTGTGGAGAGTCCTGTCATAGAAATTATTGATCCTAAAGATTCCACAGTAAAAACAGAACAGCTTGTTGACAGCCCCAAATTAGAATCTTCTGAGGGTGGAATTACACATATGGTGGACAAAGAACCTGCTGAAAGCTCCGAGGTTCATCTGCTTGCGCATGTGGAAGATGAAGGTGCAGAAATTACTGCAGCGTGCGATACTTCAGGGAATGAAATTTTCAACAGTATTCAAGACTCTGAAAATAATTTATTAAAAAATAATCTTAACACCAAATTAGACAAGTCTTTAGAAGAAATGACTGAATCTCTGGTTGAACATCCCAGATCTACAGAATTGCCTAAAACACACGTTGAACAGATTCAGAAGCGTTTTGGTGAGGACAATAATGAAATGATACCTATGGAATGTGATTCATTTTGCAGTGACCAGAATGAATCTGAAATTGAGCCATCTGTAACTGCTGATGCTAAACAGTGGAATGAAAAGTCTGTAGAGCACAGTTTCTCAAAGAATAGGTCGTCTTCTGATCCTGCAAATGAAAAGGTTGAAACTGTATCTCAACCGTCCGAAAGCCCTTTAGATACGACAGATAAAGCCAGAAAGCCTCGTACTAGAAGATCGAGATTTCATTCTCCATCTACAACGTGGTCTCCCAGCAAAGACACTGCACGAGAAAAGAAGCGGTCTCAGTCTCCATCTCCCAAACGAGAAACTGGAAAAGACAGCAGGAAGTCTCGATCACCATCTCCCAAGAAGGAACCTGCAAGAGGACGGAGAAAATCTCGTTCTCAGTCTCCAAAAAAGGACAGTGCGAGAGAGAGGAGGCGATCTCAGTCTCGATCTCCAAAAAGAGAGAGCACCAGGGAAGGCAAAAGGTCTGAATCACTCTCCCCCAAAAGAGACACCTCTAGAGAGAACAGAAGATCTCAGTCAAGAGTGAAGGATTCCTCCCCAAGAGAAAAATCCAGGTCCCGGAGCAGAGAAAGAGAAAGTGACAGAGATGGGCCGAGGAGAGATCGAGACCGAGAAAGGAGAACCAGAAGGTGGTCTCGGTCCAGATCACGTTCTCGGTCACCCTCGAGATCTAGAACAAAAAGTAAGAGTTCATCATTTGGTAGAAATGATAGAGACAGTTATTCTCCTCGATGGAAGGAAAGATGGTCAAATGATGGTTGGAGATGTCCACGAGGAAATGATCGATACAGAAAGAATGACCCAGAGAAACAGAATGAAAATACAAGAAAAGAAAAAAATGACATCAGTTCAGATGCTGATGATTCAAATTCTGCTGACAAACGTAGAAATGACTGTCCCAACTGGGTAACAGAAAAAATAAATTCTGGGCCTGATCCGAGGACCAGAAATCCAGAAAAGTTAAAAGAGTCTCATTGGGAAGAAAACAGAAGTGAAAATTCAGGGAATTCTTGGAATAAAAACTTTGGTTCGGGTTGGATGTCTAACCGTGGTAGAGGGAACCGCGGCAGAGGCACCTACAGAGGTGGCTTTGCCTACACAGATCAGAGTGAAAGCAGGTGGCAGAACCGAAAACCCCTCTCAGGGAATTCAAATAGTTCAGGGAATGACTCTTTCAAGTTTGCGGAACAGCAGCCCTATAAACGGAAAAGTGAGCAAGAGTTCTCATTTGATACACCGGCCGATAGATCCGGGTGGACGTCTGCATCTAGTTGGGCCGTGAGAAAGACTCTGCCAGCAGATGTACAGAACTATTACTCACGGCGAGGGAGGAATTCTTCAGGTCCGCAGTCTGGATGGATGAGACAAGAAGAGGAAACAACCGAGCAGGGTAACATACTGTGTTTATTTATCAACACTGTTATATTAGAAGAGAGATTATAAATTGACTACCTTATTTGTATGAATTGAAATTATCCCTATTTATAGTTTCATGTTAAACTGAACCCCAGTTATTAGAAGTCATGTTGTGTTATGTAAATAAACTTTCTCTTTTTCACCCCACCTCTGCCCCAAACCTTGCCAAAGACCTAAGTATTTTAAATACAGTTTGCTCCAGTAGAAGAATCTGGGATACACCTGTGCAGGACTTAAATTCTACTTCATTTATTTCAGATGTGTACACTTGAATTTTTTTATCATTGTTCTCCTATAAATAAGTCACTTTGCTAAAAAAGATTTTCTTTCCTTGACTCAAGAACTTTGCAAGAAAAAAGCTGTTGAAGATTTTTAAAGTGATTAACCTTCTAATTTAGTAATCTAATTAAATTTTTTAGGATTATTTCTTTTCCTAGTAAGTTTCTCGAGCTATTGATTCTTTGCGCTAATGTTTAACGATGTTATAATCCGAAGTTACTCTTAAAAATAATTTTAGTTGAATGTTTTCTTTTAGTTCGAAAATTAGCCCACATTATTTAGGAATGAAAGAATTAAACTGAATAATTGGATATTGGCTTGGGTGTTCTGAGTCTGTTAATTGCTATTCAATTTACTATCATCAGTGGTTCTTTGCTTCTCTGTCCAAAGAAATTTATAACATGATTTTTTTCATAAGCCTTTTTTTCTTTTGATAGATTCTAACCTAAAAGACCAAACAAACCAACAAGGTGATGGTTCTCAGCTACCTATAAATATGATGCAACCACAAATGAATGTAATGCAGCAACAGATGAATGCACAACAACACCAGCCTATGAATATCTTCCCATATCCAGTGGGTGTTCATGCCCCTCTGATGAACATCCAGCGCAGTCCATTCAGCATTCACCCTCAGCTACCCTTGCATCTGCACACGGGAGTGCCTCTCATGCAGGTAGCTGCTCCTACCAGTGTATCTCAGGGACTACCACCACCGCCACCCCCTCCCCCACCATCCCAGCAAGTCGGCTACATTGCTTCACAGCCAGATGGAAAGCAGCTGCAGGTATGTTTTTAGCAACTCAAGTTCCACCAACATAGCTGTCGTAAAACCTTTAGCTGTTCAGGACAGATGTTCTAGAAAGGGCTTCCTGGCATTTATACACAATGGCTTATTTGATTAGGTTTGCTTCATAACCCCCCTTTCAGTGTCCTTCCCCAAACCTCCCATCCCCAAATAAGAAAATGAGCTGCATGCATGTTATCAAATCTAAGCTACATATATTGCTATTAACAGATAATCCAGTTTTTTTTGTTGTTATTTTTGTTTTTTTCTGGTTGGATCAAGAAGACCAAAATTATGAGCCAAACTAGAATCGAGTGGTGGATGCTTTAAAAAATTTTCCCAGATTTTTAGACTTTTTAGGGGGTGAGAACTTATGATTAAATACTGTGATAAAGCTTGTATTGTGCTGCTCGGACAAACACCAGATAAAGCTGGTCATTACCCGTTACTGTCTGTGCTTCGTTTTTACGAACTTGCCATGCGAAAAAGGAAGAAGTGCCTCTGAGGCATACAGAAAATCTGATTAATGTCTGTGAACATTGTGTTTGCTGATAGTTTTGTGTCTACATCTCAGAAATTGTAGGACTCCTGGCAGCAAGATGCAGTTGGAAGAGCAGGGGAACTGGGGAACTTACATCTTTTTTTGAGATCAGCACACTGCAAGCCATTTCACTTCGCTGTCTTATTTTCCTCCATCTTTAAAGTGGGGCACTTTCTTTAAAGAGTCTTGTAGGAAGATACCACTATTTAAATATTGCTCTTCTTCCTGTTGTTTTTAGTATTACTATCAGAACATTACAATACATATATAATTTAAAAGTCATCAATGATATATTTAAATGGGGCTCTGGTTAAGAATGTTACTCATTTTTCTTCAGAGTCCTTTAGACATAAATGACCTGAAATATGCATTTCTCTTAAGTATTGAATTGCTTTGATTTTTTCTTTTTAATGTTATTTCTAATAGGTGACTAAAAGACTTCTATTGAGTGCAAGTAATTCATTAATTCATGATAACTCTCTAAAACAGGGTATTCCTAGTGCTCCTCATGTAAGTAATAACATGAGTACACCAGTCTTGCCTGCTCCGACAGCAGCCCCCGGAAATGCGGGAACAGTTCAGGGACCAAGTTCTGGTAATACTTCGTCATCAAGTCACAGCAAAGCTTCTAATGCTGCTGTAAAATTGGCAGAAAGCAAAGTAAGTGTTACAGTGGAAGCCAGCGCAGATAGCTCGAAGACAGACAAGGCAAGTTCAAAGTTGAGAGCAACCTACATAATTCTGTATATGATAAAGATGAAAAATAACTTTCTATTGTGTAAGTGGTGAAGGGAATTTATTGTTGGTAGTCTTAAATTCCAATATTATTTAAAGGATTCTGTCTAAATATGTTGGTGCCCATGGAGTTACTGGTAATACTTCATAATTATTTTTATAAAGTTTGATATGTATTAGTAAATAACTATTTTGTATTTATGACACTAACATTTTTAATGATTTCTTACAATAATGTAAATGTGCAATGTTTTCAGTTTTATATTTTTAAAGAAATTTTTTTTTAAGTATGTGATTGGGCAAATAATAATTATCACTTTCCTCTTATCAGAAATTGCAAATTCAAGAAAAGGCAGCACAGGAGGTAAAACTGGCCATTAAGCCATTTTATCAAAATAAAGATATCACCAAGGAGGAGTATAAAGAGATTGTACGGAAAGCAGTAGATAAAGTAAGTCCCAGCTTTAGTGGAGTTATGCATGTCTTATTCTGAACCATCCCTTTTAATAAAGGAATGCTTAATTAAGTCTAAATAAAATGGAGGTAGCTTCTACTAATTCTTGTCTGGGTTTTTACCTTTTGAATAAGTTCGCGTGCGATACGAAACGTGTAAAGATGTCTGGTTATCTCTTTGGGGTTTTGCTTTCTATTTGCTTTAATCCCTTTACATATGGAAAAAAAAACCCTCCTTTTTTTTTATAGGTCTGTCATAGTAAGAGTGGAGAAGTAAATTCTACTAAAGTGGCCAATCTGGTTAAAGCCTACGTAGACAAATACAAGTATTCACGGAAAGGAAGCCAGAAGAAGACTCTGGAAGAACCTGTGTCCACAGATAAGAACATGGGCTGAAGTGGGGAGCACTCAGAGGACACTGTCAGGATACCTGCCAAGTGCAATTCAACATGGACCTGCAACTGAAGATCATACGTAACTGTGATTGAAATCTGGTTTTGATAAAATTATTTTTTTTAATGTAGGATATAATGTTTTGTTCTAAATAAATACAGTTCTGCACCGCAACTTCTATATCTTTTCCTCTCCCCTCCACCCTCCTGCAAAATAAAAGCAAATTCAAGGGGAAGTAGAGAGGTGAGAGGAATGTGTGTTTTTACCTGGACTGTGTTACGTTGTGGATACTGGAAGATGTACAGCGTTTTGATTGAGCAGTGGAGTGCATGGATCAGGAACTTCTGGTGCGCTCACTGGCTTTGGAAGAGATGTGTATAATACATTTATTCTGTCAGGCTAAAAATAAAGTGATCTTTATGATTTTTTCTCTATAGAAAGATAAATAATTATTACCATGAAAAATATTTCTAATACAGAACATACCAATTGCAGGGTTCCTAATATGTATTTTTAAAGCACACCTCTGAATAAATTGCTTAGATAGAAAATAAATTACCACATGGGTAGAACTCAGTGTTCAGGACTTCAGAACGCTGTTCGCCTGTTGTGTCACCAAATAAAGGTTATGCTGCTTGTTTTTCTTTTGTGCCTTTTTTCCCCCAGTTGAGATGAAGCAGTTTGATTTGCTAGATTTACAACGTTGGCAGTCTAAGCTCTGTTGAATTTAGAAAACCTGTTTGGAAAAGGTGTTGATTTTGTAAAAATTATGTTCTTCCATAATACCTTCCGTACATCAGAGATGGCAAATTATTTGTGCCAGGCGGAGAATTGCTGTTAAGTAGTGATCCTCCCTTCCTTGGGACTAAGGTAGAATTATGACACCTGCTTCAGTGGCTTCCAGGTTGTTGCTCATCTGTCCAGTCACGGATGAAATTCTTTTCGCACTTGAGACATCTCCAAATGCTTTACAATGAATAGTGTTAATTTGGTGGCCATGTGGTGGCCATTAACCATGTTGCAAAATTGTAGACATTAAATACCTGCGTTTTGGGGAAGGAGAGGAATTAAACAATGGAATGGTTAGGCTTTCAGGGACGAGAGGTTTGGTGGTTTTTTTTAAGTACTAGAATATGTTAGTTTTTATTGAAGGTAAGTTTAAAATGTTATAGCCTCAGTATTTTAATTGGTATCTTGGAAGAAAAATGAGTTATCTCCATGATAAATTGTGTTTCATTCTGGTAACAGATTTCAGTAGATACCAAATAACTGGAAAGCTATCCCGGTAAGATGTTAATGGCTCAAAGATAGATATATGCCTCGGTGAGACGGACTGACCCTATACGAGCGAAGTAGGGAGAGCGGTGTTCTGTAGGACCGTGCTTTTACGAAGGGAAGATGCTCTGTTTCTCAGTTTCATGTGTATACTACTTTCCTGGTGCTAGCTTTGATAGGCGAATTTTGAAGCGTTGGCCCCAATAATGATTGTGCTAATTCATAATCTTTATCAGATTATGAGTGTAATCCCAAAAAGTGTTAGAAATATTTCCAGGCAGTTTTTGATCTTTATTCTGCATTTCTGGGCATTTGTAATATGGTATTCTACTGATTTATATATATTTTTAATTAAAGTTTGTGTTTAGATTATGATGGGGAAAGAATTTTGGAAGTATATTTCTTCTAATAAAATATTAAGACAGTGTTTTAATATCAGCACATACCTCCTCATTTGTTTCAGTTTGAAACTCTAGAAACAGTTGTGTGAACTTTGAGTCGATTTTGAGTTAAAGCTGGTTCACACTTGGAAAATTTTGTAGCAAATTGCCCAAGCTGACTAATCACACAATACATGATTTTTGTACATTTTCTTTCAGTGACATTTGGGAGCTGGGTGACAGTTTAAAATTTGCTTTATACATTTAGCTTGTGCAAATGTATTTTAAAGTTTTGAAGAAAAACTGGGTGGCGTGGTCAGGAGTTAAAAGTCTCACATCTTTGGTAGCAATCTCATGCATTAATTCCACCTTTTTTCAATAACAGGTGTGTACTCCATATCTGATTGGGGTACTAGTTAGACCGACTGCATTTGAAACAGCTAATAAAGAATGTTACTGGACTAGAATCAAACTTAGAACACTTTGAAGTACTTAAGAATATTAGAAAGTGCATGCTTTATGTTAAAAAAATAACATTGCTTTTTAATATTTCCCATTCTTGCTTTTTTCAGAAGTTTACATTAATTTTTGCATGTGCACAGACTTAAGAACATTTTGTGGGATTACAGATTTATTATTTATGAAGATTCAGTATTAACTTGATCTTTGAAACCTTGATCCCTTTAACTTACTAGTCACATTGACTGATGTTTTAGGCTATAGTGATGCCTAGAATTTTGAGACTAAAATTAGTTACTTGTTATTTTAACATTCCAAAACTGTAGTGATTTTTTTTTCCTGGCAATTACCACATTTTTCCCATTATCTTCCTTTAAATGGCCACAGTGTGTACTGCTTGAATGTTCCATCCAAAAGATGTAGCTTCAGAAGAACAGTGGTTGCCCCGTGGTCCACGAGACGTTGTTTGTGGTATGAGGACGGAGTGCTGTCTACTGAAACCATACTCTTAAACAGATATGTCATCTGTACTATTTTCTAATAAATTCTTTTGATAAGTGAAGCAGTGTCTTTAACATTTTATTATTAAGATTCCTGGGAAATGGTGACTTTTACCTCACAACTCTTTTTAAACATGTGTTGCAGTGTGTCTTGGATTTGTACCAAAGTAGCTACTAGCGTAGTTAGTTACATCAATGTGCACATTGTAAGGCAAGCTTAGAGCTGGCTATAAGCATGTATTTTAATGGTGTTTTTTCATAATTACATAATCATTGAGGAAATTAGAAAAACTTAGTAAATTTAAAAATGTGTAAGAGGGGAGAAAAACAAAAGGAGAAAAATCACCTGTAATCCTATCATGTAAAGGTAACTGTTAACACTGAACACTGCACATAACTTGTAACTTTTCACTTAATGATGTATGGAGATGTTTCCATTTTAATAAAATTATTTGGCAGCATGATCTTTAATAGCTATATAATACTTTATTACACAGATACACCATTACCCGAAACAGTCCTCTAATGTTGGGTATTAAGTTGTTTTTGCTAATATAAATAGGAAATTAGTAATATGTAAATTGTGCTAAATGACTGATGTAAGCATCTTTATACATAAGTTGTGCCCATTTTCAGATTGTTTCCTGGGGATTGTTTCCTAGAAGTAGAATCTCTTAGTTTTTACTTCCCAGTAAAATTTTTTAAGATGTGATTATATACATACCTGAAGTATAATTTTTAAAAATTCAATTAGAGTTAGTGTAAAACTTACTTTCCTAAGCCGATTTTTCTATGCAGAGAGAACCATCAGAAAGTTCTGTTTGTTTTTCCCAAACTCTTCAGTGCACTTACAAGAAAGCTTTTTAAGTCTCTGGGAAAACAGCAGGTTTCACAGAGCTTTTCCCCCAGCACGTGAATTACATTCTGTAAAGTGTTCTGCATCTCTAGTCCCCTTAATAAACGGAACACATATTCTATTTTATAAGGGCTACATCGTTTTCCTCTGTTGATGGACATGTAAGTTATGTGCAAGTTCTGGCTATCAGAAACAGTGTTTATGAACACCCTGTGTGACTTATCTCTGAATCTTTGTGTATCCAAGGTTACACTGAATTTCAGGAAATAGACATTTTTATTTTGGACAGATGTTGCCAAATTGCTCTCTGAGAGGAATGTACTGACTTACAGTCCCTCCACAGTGCCTGAGCTTACAGGTTACCTTTAGTTCCACCTTTAATGTCGTGACTGAGAATCTAAGATTGTTCTTGTTTTTAGGATCTTAATGAACATTGATTTCATCAAACTGCACACCTACTATGTGTCAGGAGTTCTGGATTCTTCACATATTAGCAGGTTTAATCGTACCACAGCTTTCTAAAATACTGTAATAGTATATTAAGTTAGTACTACACGCCAGGCACTCTGTCAGACATGTGTTGCCTTATTTGACCTATGAAACTAATTCTAATTAGTTCTAATCTTTGTTCTACTGATGAGGAAATTGAGACTCATAAAGCATGAACTGTTTACCTAGTTACAGGGCTACGGAGAGACAGGCGGGGCTCGCACCGAGGATCGGTCCTGCCAGCGTCCGAGCTTGACTTGGGGTGATGTGTACTCGCTGATGTGCCCCCACATGAACCACGTGGGAGTGATGCTGAAGTAGAGCGAGGAGCGTGGCGGGAGCACCGAGGAGGACACAGCTGCCTGGGCTGGGGTGTCTGTCCTGTGTCTAAACGAGGCTTCCTCCTGGTGCCCCTCTGCTGGCGCCCCATATATCCCACTGGGGGGAATTGAACCTTTCATCTTTAACCATCTCTCACGACTCCTTGGCTGTTCTTGTCCCATCTCCATTCTCTCAAGCAGGTGCTGTTTCCCCTCTATCAAGTCTTCCTTTGCAATAAAATCCAACTTCGTCAGTTTCCGGCGCTGTTGCCATCTGACCTCTTGCAACGGCCTGTCCCCACCAGCTCATCTGAGACGGCACAGACTGACCTTCCAACAGCGCGGCTGTGGGCACGGTCCCCGCCGTCCACTCACCACGCAGCGCCGCCGGCCTGTGTGCCGACTAGGGGCGCGGGAGCAGGGCCGCGCGGCTGGCGCCGCCGGGAGCGCGGGGGTGGGGCGGGCTGTGCGCGCGCATCGCTGCCGGGAGCGGCGGAGGCGGCAGGCGCTCCGGGAAGCTGCCCTGGGACCTGAGATGGTCCCCGGGAGAGGGACCTCTAACCCGAGAGCCAAAAGGTGAGCAAGAACTAGGCAGGGAAAGGCGGATCTGGCAGAGGGAATGCAAAGAGGTCTGTGGCCAGAGAACATGGCAACTGTAAGCCTAGAACGTCTGAATGAAGATTAGAGGAGGGTTTTTAAGGCACTGGTACCAAAAAAAATAAAAAAAAAAAGCTTTTGAAGTCTCTTGAGCAGGAGGTGTTTGGCATTGATGAAATACGCATTTAAAAGATTGCTCAGAGTCTCAATGGCTCAATAAAAGTAGTTAATAAACATTAAACACTATAAGGGTTCAACCTTACAGTTAAACAATGTTATGAATTTCTTTTATCAAACTGAAAACATGTTTTAATTCTGGCAAGAGTACAGCTCAGCCCTAGTACTAGAGGGAAGGCAACTGTACAGATTTTCTCAACGGCAGTTTGAAAGTCAGTATAAAGACCCTTAAAAGGGCCACATACTCCCCATAATCACATAAATACACTGGCCCACGTGGTCCTTTCTGGTATCTAATAGTGGCAAGTTGGAGGAGGCTGGTAAATACTTCAGTCATGTGAAGATAGTTTGCAGTTCTTTCAAATGTTTTCAGGGGAAAAAACAGAACATTAAATGGAGAAAAAGAGGGCAAGATAATACTTCAACTTCATTTTTTAAAAAGAGGAAAGAATATTTTTAAAAATAAGTTTTTTTCTGAGTAGCAGAGGATTTTTCTTTTTCTTTGTGCTATTCTTTGACTTCCAAGTTCCCTACGTGACCAAGAGCTATACGATCAGAAAAAAAGGCATTTTTAAGAAACTGCTTGGGGAGAGAGGGTCGGAGAAGGCGCTGGAGACTTTGCTCTGGGCTTGTGAGCTGCCAGCTTCCCATGTGAACCCACCTACGGTCTCAGCGTGAGAACCTGGCTGTGACAGGTTCTTGACGGCTCCGCAGGGAGGAGCGCAGCCCCCTCTGGGGGCTGATGGGTGCCAGTCTGTAAGTAACATTCGCTGGCTTTACAGGCTGAGAAACCGTTAGTTATAGGCAACTGGATCTCTGAAACCATGGCTAGCTTGAGCATACTGCCCCCGATCCTGGAGCACTAGCAAAGGTAACCCACTGTCGTGGAGAGCAGGGGTCTTGGCTATAAAGCTTACAAACTAGGCCCAACTTTGTGACCTTGATCATGTTTCTTCTCTGAGCCAGAGTGGCCCCTAAAAGGGGCAACTACCCTACCTTGAGTGAGACAATAAATATGAATGTCGAACTTTCCTATTTACTTCGAGAATTTCTGCCCTTATGATCCGAACTGGTTTTCCCACCATCTCCTCTTGGATAATAATGGAAATACAACTTACTTGTCCAATGGTTTGCAAGCCAGCTGCATATTTAGGGTGGCAGAGAGAGCTTGAAAAAATGGCAGGACCCAGGCTCACCCCAGACCAATTTAATCAGTCTGCGCTGGGACAGTTTAAAGCCTCCCCAGGTGGAGGTGACTGTGCAGCCAAGAAGCAAACCACTGTGTGACTTTTTCAGGTCCCTGCAGATCACAGTGCTTCTGTTAGGGCAACATGATTAATTCGATCACAGCTTGTCTGAAACTGTTAGCTTCGGTCCCTGCTCTCAGCAGCAGCAGCAGCACCTGAGAGTTTGCTAGTTTGTACCCACCTTTTCTGTTCTTTTTTTAAAAGATGACATGATGAGGTTTACAGAAACTTTAAAGAAGCAACAAATTATTAGAAAAAAGCGAAATTAGCAACAAGGACCTACTGTCTAGCACAGGAAACTATATTCAGCTTCTGGCGATGAGCCATAATGGAAAATACGTGTATGTATGTATGTAAATGTGCAACTGAATTGCCTTGTTGTACACCTGAAACTAACGCAAGTCAACTCCACTTCAATAAAAAACAATTTTTTAAAATTATTCACACACAAGTCTGTAAAAAAAAAAAAGTAAGTTTAAAAAATTTCCTGATTAGAGCCCAACATAGAGAAATCAGTTATATTTCTACATATTAATAACTGAAAAATTAAATTTGAAAAAAATGTATAATAGCACCGGAAAGACCAAATACATGGAATAAATCCAGTGAAAGATGCCGAGGACCCCTCTGGCGAACACGACCGGTGTTATTGAGAGAAAGTAAAGAAAACCTTTTACTAGATGCAGGGATGCACTGTGTCCAATATGACGACACTGTTAGGTTCAAATTCTCCTTCACCTCATTTTCAAGCTCTACCACGTTCTCTGGGGCTTAGATCCCGCCAAGTAGAGACGAGACCTGGGGCATTCCCGGGGTGCTCACACGGCTCCGGGCTGCAGTCAGCCTGCCCTAGGACTGCATGTCTGGAAGGTCAGGCTGTGCATGCTTCATTCAGCAGACTTTCATTTACACACTTGGCTAATTGAATTAAAGACACTTCTAAAATTATCACTGTAACACGGCTTCACCATCATTTCCAGAAGCCTTTTTCTTTGATGCTCTATTCAAAGCTGACGGTGTGTCCCCCTCAGCTCCAGCAAGTAGAGTTTTGACTTCCCGTCACAGCAGCGGTGGCCAACAGTGAGTGCTTCTGACGGACGCTGTGCTGATATAAGATTTACTTCCCCCAACTTTCCTAACAACCCTGACAGTAGTCCTGTTATGAACCTCATTTTACACCTGAAGACATGAGGATGAGGTCAAGTTACTGACCCAAGATCACTCAGCCGGTTAGTGGGAGTCAGACCTCACAAACGGGCCCGAGTCCACAGCCTCTGCCCACACAGCCTCACAGCCCTGCGTCTGGGCTCATCACGAGGTCTGCCCAGCAGACGTGCCCCAACCCTTACTCCTCCTCACTCAACCCACCTCGGCAGCTAAGAAATAAGGATAAGAATTTTCATAGCATCATTTGAAATAGTCCCAAACTGGAAACAACCCAAATGCCATCAATGTTGGAATACTATTCAACAATGAAAATGAAGCTATTCTTGCAACAATACAGATGAATCTTACAATCAAGTTGAATGAAAGATGACAGAAATGAATATGATCCACTATTATATCTCTGCATTAAAAATTAGACAAAATTATATCATAGCATTTAGAGATCTGTACTTGAGTGATTGAAAAAACTTTAAAGAAAAGGGATTGTTTGGGGGTAGGATAAATTAGGAGTTTGGGATTAACATATACACTCTATTACATATAAAATAAACAACAAAGACCTACCGTATAGCACCGGGAACTGTATTCAATATCTTGTAGAAACCTCAAAC